GGTCCCTTGAGCACAGTTGTTTTTGTCCATGGGCCCACAACCCCCCACTGCACTCAGCCCTCCTGCCCGGCCCAGGAGCCTTCCAGTGCTGCTGGGGGCCACCCAAAGCCGTGACGAACTTGTGGTGTCTCCTAAGACAGTCACACACTGGGTGGGCCTTCTCTGTATTCAACTGCATTACAAATTTTAGCAAAATCTATAGACATTTTCAGTGGGATGCAACATACAGTAGGGTATGGGATTTTCAACCCATGGCTCCGTGAACACTTACACAAAGATACCCTTGTAGCTGTGACCTGGATGAAGATGTAGAATGTTCCCAACGCCCCCAGAAAGTTCCTTCAAGCTACTCCCTGGCAATGCCCACCCACACCTTGGTCCCAGGGGAGTGGAGAAGGCCAGTAGTAGAATTTTCTGAGGATCTCTTGGCAAAAATCAAACATAGCTTGGTCAGGACCCTTGGAATGGAGGCCGACGTCAGCCTGTCACAGGCTGGCCACTACCCCCAGGATTCTCCTTGGGGGACATGACAACTGAATAGGGTCAAACAGGAGGAAAGTGAGGGTGCCAAAGATCGTTAAGGAGAGAACAGGACAGTTGGCCATTGTCCTACGTGCCTAAGACCACGCCCTTATGGAGACAGCAGAGGAAGTTTGAGGGGAGCTGCGTCAGTAAAAGCATGGGGGTGAGTTCCCACGGGAGAGCTTCATTAGCTCACACTCTAGAGCACGAGCAGGGCGAATCCCTGTTCTAGCCAGGAAGTTCTCCCTTGCAGTCAGAAGCACTGAGGAAATGAATGGGCTTACCTCCTTACGTGGCGTAGACCCAGACCCGGGCACCCCGAGAAGCATTTGATTGGGTTCCTGTGTGTGTCCTGAGTCCTTTGCAAAAACAGTTGCTGCAGCCTCACACATGGGCCTTGGAGCTGAGGGAGACCCTGGGGACTGGGTCTGGACTAATAGAAGGAAGAGCGGGTGGGCGGAGCTAGACGGTGGGCTCCCCGGAACTGTTTTCTCTCAGTCATTCTACGAGAAGTGCATGGCATCGGTGAGTGTGTTGTGAGTGCAGGGATGTGGTGAACCTGGAATTTCCAAAGGAGTCATGCGGGGAGCAGAGTGCGGTCATTGGTGCTGGGATGGGTCCAGATCCGGGGATACATGTGGGGATATGTGAGCCAAGCAGATTAACACCCCCCCTTTCAGGTGTATGTGTAAGGAACGCTTTGACCTGCAAATAAGGAGAACACAGTCACAGGCATTCAAACAGACAGCCATTGCTCTGTATCTGATGAATCCGGGGAAAGATGGTCCCAGCTGGAGCTGCTCTAGAATGATGCAATCAGCTGCTCTCGCTCTCTCTTTCCTGAACCGTTCCTCTCCAGGATTGTTGCCTGGTGGTCCCCAAACAGCAGATGTGCCCCCCGGCATCAGCGTCATGTCTGCACCGAAGGAAGAATACGAGGAGAGAGCAAAGGGCAGGCTTGCGTGCCCACGCAGTCTGTCCTTCTGTAGGGAAGGAAAGACCCTTCTTGGAAGTCTCATTTATCAAACTCCCACTTAGATCTCCTTGACCAGAGCTGAGGTCGTTCGGCTACCCAAAGACCAGTCACAGACTGAGGAAGCCAACCCTACCTTATCTTCTTAAGGGAAACAAGATGGATGTAGCCTTGGCCTTTCAGTCTCAGTCCTCCTGGCTGCGCTTTAGCCGCCACTTGAACGAAGAGGTTGTGTCAGCAGGAAAGCGGGGCTGGGGAATAGGGACAAAGCGGGGAATGAGTCCTCCGTGGATTTTTTTCTCACGTAATATTGGAAAACTCTGATCAACTATAGACGATGAACATTTCTTTCAAAGGTCTTACCTCTTTAGGTTTGGGTCACTCTCCAGTGCCTTCAAACACTTATTTCATCACTGTTTTGCCCAGCTTTGTCATTGTTATGTCTGATACAGGCTAATTCGTCATTATCAGAAGCTAGAAGTCTCCATATTTTTGTCAGTTCACCAATTTATATTTATTACGTTTGGATTAACTGACGCTTAGACTCATTCAAACCATTGTCTAAGCAAAGAATTTGCAAAATAAAGTATTTGTTTGGGCTCACATACTCAAATCCTGGGGAGTTCTGAATAAACAAATTGCATTTGGTTTTACCTCAAGATGACCAAATGAGTCTATAGGACGTTTCACTTACTCGGAAGAACGAAACGTCACAGGAAGTAAGAACCCCCACTACAAGACTTACCATGACTCTTACAGAACCCCCTTTGGGACATTCGTGTCCTGGGCCACGCCTGCCCTCTCAGACCAGCGCTAGTAGCAAGATCAGCTCTGCTACCATCCTTGATGCTTTGTTGTGTTGGGTCCAGACTCGCCCCTCCTTTGTGATGGCCGAGAGAAGGTAGATGCTTGGGTGTACAGGGACTTAACAGAGCTGATATCCCAATAAAAAAATACAGGGTAGATAAGTGGGTCCAAAAAAAAAAATCCAATCATATACAGTCTATAAGGCTCGCTTTAGATTTAAGGGAACGCATAAGCTAGAGACGAAGGGATGGACAAAGATATTCCATGCAGATTGCACCTAAAATAGAGTAAAGGTGGCTGTACTTGTATCAGACAAAGTAGACTTTGAGTCAAAAATTGTCACAAGAGAAAAGAAGGTCATTACATAATGATAAAAGGGTCAATTCACCAGGAGGATATAACAATTATAAATATATGTGCACTCAACATCAGAGAACCTAATTATAAAATATAAACCTGGGGAGATCTGAAGACAGAAATGGGTAGCAGTTCAAAGATAGCAGGAAACTTTGATACTCCGCTTTCGATAATGGTTAGATCATCCAGACAGAAAATCAATAAGATGACAGCAGGCTTGAATTACGCTATAGACCAAACGGATCTTGCAGACCTATACAGAACACTCCATCCAACAACAACAGAATGCAGATTCTTCTCAAGCTCACGTGGAACATTCTCCAGGAGGGATCAAATATTAGGCTACACAGCAAGTCTTAACACATTTAAGAATCATTCCAAGTACCTTTTCCAACCCAGTGGAGTGAAACTAGAAATCACTAACAGAAGGAAGACAGGAAAACTCACAAGTAGATGGAAATGAAACAACACACTCTTGACTAACAACTGGGTCAAAAAGAAGTCAAAGGGAAGATTAGAAAATATCTCAAGGCATACAAAAAATGGAAGCAGTTTGAATCTTCCCTTCCCTTTCCCTTCCAAGCACCTTGAATCTCCCAGAAGAAGCTCCTTCTGAAGAAAGTTTAATGGTGCCCCAGTTCCCTCATAACTTCCATGTGGACACATTCCTTCTAGACATGGGCTGGCCCACTCCTCCTGGTGCATCTAATAGGTATTCAGTATGATACTGAGCAGGATTAACTGACTTAATGAAAGCAGAGTCAGGAAAAAGCAGAATTCTAAATTCTGCTTTAAAAAATGGGACTCACATTGTAAAAATTAATAAGGATAACACAGCTCTAAGCAGTAAATTCCAAAGGAGGTCGCCAATCATAGCACTCCGTCACCTCTGACCAGTCTTGGCCACAGGGAATAAGAATGTGCCCCAGGTGATTCAATCTGGCGCCTTTCCAAAGATTTGTAAATTAAAACTAATTGAGATTAGAATGAAGAGGAGTCCCTTCCTCTCTGATGAGGATGCTGGGAAAATGGGGAACTTGGGGTGCACGGTGGTGGTGTTTCCATCCTCTCAGAGAAAGCTGACATAAGATTCTGAAGCTGAGAGTCTGGAGTGGGAGAAGAGTTTGGCCACCTTCAGGCACCTAGGTATAGCCACCCGAGACCAGAATATCCCTATCTTTCTACAGCAAGAGGAGACAATAAATTCCACCCTTCTTGCCTCAGTTAATTTGATTTTGGGTTCCATCACTTGCTAACACCAAGGTCCCAGTTCGTACACTCTACTACTCAGTTGGCATGTTCTTAGATACTCTTTACTGTCGCAAGCAAATGTTTTCATGTAAATATCTCACTTCCCCAACAAGAAAATCATTTCCTTGACAACGGTAGTTTTGCCAGCATACCTGTCCCAGTACTGAGCACATGGTTAAGTGTTTTAAATATATTTATGAATGGTTATTATGAAGTAGATGTACAGTGTTAGGAAGAGGAGAGAATTTCTGATAGAAGAAATTCTTGTTAAAGGCATTCCTCTGTGTTCTGACTTTGCACCTAGCTGACCAGTCCACAAGAGAGCCAGCTGTATAATCTGGGACTGTGCCCACATTACACAATTTATTTGGAATACTGGAAATTGCTTTCCTTTTTTTATATTAACTTGGCGTTCCCAGTTAGTTTCTCACTCCTGTCAAGATCTTCAGGAAGGTTCATCTTTCTCTGGGGGATGGGTGTTCCCCCATAACCTCTCCCCTCAGTCCAAGACAAAATATATTATAATAGTACTTATTAAGTTGAGGCTAGTGCCTCGATGAACTAAAAGGCATTTTCTAAAAGGCATGTGACTGGCCTTCCAGACTGGGCGCCTTGTCAGAGGGGATAGTTTCCATCACCTGCTGAGAGAACACCAAACTCCACCCCCTTCAGCAGGGGGAGGCCACCACCTGCTTCTCCCAGAGTGCGCAAGGAATTGGTTTTGTTTTATTTTTAATCGGAGTTTTATTTTATTATTTTCTTAGTCGAGTATAATTAAAGTACAGTGTTATAATAGCTTCAGGGGTACAATGGTCATGATTCAACAATTCTATACATTTCTCAGTACTCATCAAGACAAGTGTGCTCTGAATCCCCTTCATTTTGGCGGACAGATGGGCAGCTGGTCTGATGGAGGCAAGACGGACACTTGCATCCCGCTGGCCACCCTGTAATGACTCAGTTTCATCATCTGGGAAGTTTCACACCTTATGTGCTTCACTTGGAATCCTGGGAAATTCTTGCCTTCTACATTTGACATCAGCATGGTTTGGCTTCCCTTTTTTGTTTACAAAAAAAAAAAAAAAAAAAAAAGCAAACACCCAGAGATCTGTAGATACAGGATTTATGTTTTACCACTGAGTCTCAATATTAGTTGGGGCATTGGGAAAGAACTTAATTTGGCTGCTGAGTGGAAAACAAAGGCGCGTGTCTTAGAAAAGACGACACAGGGTGGTGGGGGCGGGAGTTGGGGGGCTTAAGCGCTCACGCTTGCGCAGATGGAGAATCCAAAGATGCCCAGGAATCCAGTCTTGGAGCAGGAGCGAGTACTGACGTTTTCTGAAAAAGGGACAAATTTGTGAAGAAGGAGCGTTGAGAAATACATTATTAGAATGCAGCAGACCCATGCCTTCTTGTTAATGTCTTGACGTAATGTAATTACATAATGTAATTCTCTGTTACCCAAGTTTTTAGCTACCCTTGTATTGCAAAGGATAATGATGCGTTAGCTTAAATAAGACTGACAAGTCCTGGGGGCCCCTGGGTGACTCAAGTCGGTTAAGCGGCTGCCTTGGGCTCAGGTGGTGATCCCAGGTTCCTGGGATGGAGCCCTCTCCCTTCTTGGGCTCCCTGCTCAGTGGAGGGTTCTGCTTCTCCCTCTCCATCTGCCCCTCCCCCAACACTCTTGTGTGCTCTCTCTCAAGTAATTAAATAAAATGTTAAAAAAAAAAAAAAAAGACTGACAACTTCTAGAAGTGCTGTATGGCTCTATTTGATTAATGCTTTGACATTCTGCATGGGTGACCTGCCTGTGTGCTTTTAGTCGTAAGTACTAATGACCCTGCTAAAAGAAAAATATCTTAAAAAATTTTTTCTAGACAGTAAAAATGTGATAAATGTTCATTATTTTCTTTTGCCTCTTACCTTCTTCCACTACTCTGGGTAATTTATCTTGTTGCATTCGCCATCTGCAGCCTGGCCCCTCTTTCCCTCTGGCTACTCTCCCATATTGGAAATTTTGTATAAAAATACCAGTGATGACTGCAATGATATATGCTAGCTGGACCACTCAGGGCTTTTTTTCCTTGTCAATCAGTGCACTTTGCTTGTTCTTCCTTAGACTCATTCTGAAAATAGCTTTTAAAACTTTTTTGAAGAATAATTGACAAGTGGATTTGTATACATTTCAAGTGTACACCGTGCTGATTTGATATCCACACACATTTGTAGAATGATTACCAAGATCGAGAGAACACATCCGTCACTGCACACAGTTAACGTAGGTAATTCTTTCCTGTGTGTGCTGCGTGGTAAGAATGCTTAGGATCTCCTCTCAGCAACTTTCAAGTGTACAATCCTGTATCATTAACACCCATCAGCGCGAAGCACAGGAAGAAATCCAACAAGTTTTCCCCTGGCACCCAGGACATCTGAAAATTTCATCCTCTGTGTTAACCCATCAACTTCTCCACCAGAGGGCGTGTTCCTTAGGGCAGAGTTTCATTCATTGCTCGCTCTCCCTCATATTTAGCACGATTGCCACACACTGTAGGTGTTTCATTCCCGAACTCAACCAAAATGAGCCATGTTTCACGTCTACCTGTATTTCACACAACCCCGAGCAGAATGGCCCACACGGGGAAGCTTCCAGGAAATGTCTGGGGAAGGAATATTTCAGTACTCACCTATCTTCTCAACCACTTCCCCCTTGTACAGAGGGATGTGACTGCAGAGATGCCTGATTGGGGAACCGATCAGGAACCAGTCTATGTCGATGATTAAGGACTGCAGGGGGCTGTATTTGACCCAGAAGTATTTGTCAGAGTACATGTTCTTCACAGCCTAGAACAGCAGTGGAGAGGGGGATAGGATGAAGCAGGTTGACCTAACCTGATGTCCCTTATTCTAAGCTTTTTCTTTTTCATACTATGAAGCAGAAGCCCATCAGCAATGCTCAGGACGCCATCTCCTTCTGAGCACTTGGTCTGCAGGGAAGCCTCGATATTACCAAAGCTATATCCCTCTTGGTGGCAGTGAAACCCAGGGAGGGTGACTCCCATGGCACAGGGGACACAGATGGGAAGTTACGGGGGGAATGCAACACCACGTTCCAAGCCTTGCACTGTATTTGTTTATTCTCGCTGTCCTGTGTTGTTTCTTTGCACCTTTGTGTTGTGGACTAATATGACTTCACTCGTTTTTCTGCCAGTCGCTATTTCTAAGAGCCCTACTGTTCAGTGTTTTACAGAAAAACACTGGAATTTATGATAAGTTCTCGAATTGGGGGCTGGATGGTAGAAATCAAGCTAAGCAAAATCAGTAAAGAAGAAAACACTTTAAGGGGTGGAGAGTGCATAACCATGGTAAGATGTAATATTATGATTGTTCCCCTTACTCTCTTCTTTCCTCTGTAGGCACCCATTTTCCTGGGCAAAGGAACGGGGAATGGGGAAGGGTACTGCAGAATCACCTGTTTCTCATAGATGTATCGTTCTAGTTTGTCTAGAGCAGGGATCGCCTTATGGTCCATCTTCAGGATGTAGCAAGCTCTTCGGGAGAGCAGCCGGGATGCGATGTAGCCCTGGGGCAGGAATAACACAGTTACTGGCCTGCCTGGCTCCCCGGTTCCCAACTGGTGGGGAGGACATTTGAGCCTCACTGAGGAAAGCCTTGAACATGCGCAGTGAGGGCACGTGACCATTTTTCGCTACCCATTCGCCTTCTTTTCATCATAGGTTTACTTTTTGGCTTGTTGTTTCTATCTCTGAGGTTGTACAAACCCACAATCTGTGCCCCACTTCTCATGTTTTGCAACCAGGGCCTGTAGTGTCAGGTTTGAACAATTAAGAAGCAGCAGCTGTCTGTTTCCTTCTTTCTTTCTTTCTTTTTTTAAGATTTTATTTATTTACTTGACACAGCGAGAGAGGGAACACAAGCAGGAGGAGTGGGAGAGGGAGAAGCAGGCTTCCTGCCAAGCAGGGAGCCTGATATGGGACTCGATCCCAGGACCCTGGGACCATGACCTGAGCTGAAGGCAGATGCTTAACACCTGAGCCACCCAGGCGCCCCTGTCTCTCTTTCTATTGATTTCGTTCTGCCTTTTCCTTAATTTGGGGTAAATATAGTATTCTTTAGAACTGTGCTTTCCAATATGTTCACTCCCAGCCACATGTGCTATTTAAATTTAAATTCAAATTAAGTAAAATTTAAAATGCACTTCCTCTGTCACACAATTCACGTGCCCTGTAGCCACAAGCAGCCAGTAGCTTGTCTGTTGGAAAATACAGATATAGAGCATTTCCAGCGTTGTAGAAATTTCTGCTGGACAGTGCTGCTTGAGAAACTCTCCTTCGTGTGGCATGCTCCCCCTCCCTGCCAACACACACACACATTTCATCCATTCTTCTCTCCTTTACCATCTTCTCTCCCTCCTTTCTCCATCTCAAACCCAAGCAGGCTGGAGAGGCTGGGTTGGAGGAAGGTGGTATAGAAATAGCAATGGTAGGGGAAGCCCAGGAGCCAGACGAAACCGGAGGCCACCTCACCTTCACCCCGAATGGAATTTTCTCTACAGAGACCCAAATAATTATACAGTCTGTGAGGCTGTATGTCATACAAACCCACTTCTAGTTCCCATTTTTCAATTCTCACAAATTGCCAGTTCCTAAAATTCAAAAATAGCCCGAGGCAAAACCTGATGGCCGTGGAAGGGGCTTAAACCGCGTCCTCACCGCTCTGGTTTTTTTTTGTTTTTTTTTTTTTTTGTTTTGTTTTGTTTTTTAAAGACACTTGGGGGATTTCCCTGAAATCTGCTTTAAAAAACGATTTCAGTACAAATTCCTTTAAAACTGTATCTTTCAAAACTTTTGTGTTTTCAGATGTGTCCTAGAACTCCCAATGCCAATGGGGAGGAGACATGTGAGGAGGTTCCTACAAGAAAAGGAGACAAAAAGTACATTCAAATGCCCAGTGAGATGGACTGTGACATACTTATAACCACAGTACATAGCTCTGTCCCATGGTAAAAGCAGCCTCCTGATCAGATGGAATGGATAGAAAACAAACAAATAAATGGATAAAGGACCCAATAACTTTTCTAAGCAGGTTTCTGAGATTTATTGTTAATAGCTTCAGTTAAGTAACTGAAACTTGTAAAGAGTTTGGATTAACACACTTTCCTTCTTCCAGAAGAAGTATGATTTATTGCATATCCTACTGACATAGTTGAAGAGGTATAGTTGTTCTGGATTTCTGCTATTCTATGATTGTTTATTCCATAATCGCTCTTTTTCTGCATGAGTTTTTCTATTAGAAGCCCTAATTCATTCATTTATTCATTCAGCCAATATTTTTGAAAGCCTGTGTGCCAGGCTATGCTCTGGGTTTTAGTCCCCTCTTCTAGACACTGTCTGAGCCTGTAGTGAGGCAATTATCATGATGCTCCAATTACCACCTCAAAAGATCAAACAGATGTGTATGTTGCCTGTTACACATTTTTCTTAGAAGTGGTTTTGTTTGGGAAACCTAGGTGGCTCAGTCAGTTAAGTGTCCCACTCCTGCTTTCAGCTCAGGTCATGATCTCATGGTCATGTTATCGAGCCCCCAGCCTGAATCTGAGCCCAGCTCAGAGTCTGCTTGAGGTTCTCTCTCTCCCTCACTCTCTGCCCCTCCCTCTCCTCAAACACACACACACCCTCTCTCTCTTTCTCTCTAAAATAAATAAATAAAATCTCCCTTTTTAAAAAAAAAAAAAGGCGGGGGGGATAAGCAGGGCTCCTGGGTGGCTCAGTGGGTTAAAGCCTTTGCCTTCAGCTCAGGTCATGATCCCAGGGTCCTGGGATCGAGCCCCACATCGAGCTCTCTGCTCAGCGGGGAGCCTGCTTCCCCCTCTCTCTCTGCCTGCCTCTCTGCCTACTTGTGATCTCTTTTTTTCTGTCAAACAAATAAATTTTAAAAATCTTTAAAAAACTTAAAAAGAGAAAAGCAAAAGTAAGGGAATTCTGGAAGAATTGCAAGGATAGTTCTTGGAATTCAAATGCATAGTAAATGGCTGCCCCTTCACCCTTTAGAAACCCAGTGAGTCTTGAAGAATATAAAAATTCCTTTGTGGCTTACATGTTTATAGTCAAAAATCGTGGTAGAGGAGCATGAACCTGTATGGATGTTAATGATGGCAATATTTTTTTGATTGTCGATTGTCACTGTCTCCTGAAGATTGCCACCATTGTTGCTTGGGCTGATGATGTTATAAACCTAGATTAACAACAAAGACATAATGGTTTTTCCATAAGTCCTATGCACTGGAAAGACAACCCTTCCAACCAAATGAAGCCCTCCACTTGTTGTGAGCAAGAGACTGAAGTCTGAAACCTCCTCCCTGGCATCCCAGACCAAAAACCATGCTAAATAAGAATGTGAAGCTCTTCTTCATGGTTTACTATATTATATACAAGAGAAGCAATAACATCACAGAAGAAATGAAAGTGACCACATTGTAAAGCAATGGGTTGCATTTTTTTTTAAAGGATTGCAGTTTGGAAAGAAATAACCAAACTTATCATTTCCATTATTGGTTATTTCTGGGATGCCATCCCAAATAGGGCATATGGGCTCTCTACCGTGCTCCACATAGATGATCTTGTATCTTCCTTTTCCTCTGCCAGTAACTGCAGGGTTTAAAGTCCAAAGGAAACCAACTTACCTCATATCCATGAGATTGTGTCCCAAAGATGGCCAACACCAGAAACACCACCTAAAAAACAGACCAGTTGCATCCATTCTCTATAGGGCAGTCATTAAGGATGGGGACTTATGGAGACACTGGACAGGACAAGCACAAGTATCTCAGAAAATATACACTTAGAGAGACAGGTGGGTGGTCATGGGCAGTCAACAGTCCATCTCCCAGATGCGAAACACACATTCCTTCATTAGACAGGTGTTTGCTGACTTCATGCTATTTGTCAGACACCAGGTTCTACCTTTATGCCCCATCCCTGACCCTTCCCAACATCATAAGCTTGTAGGCAACAAGAGTTCTTATGCCAGATACAACTTGGAGTAGGTGAACAGTGAGGAAGGACTCCTTTTACTCCGAGAACACCCTGGTGTGACTCACAGTGGATGTGGATGACAGAAGTGAAGTTGTGTCTTATGGTTAAAAAAAAAAAAAAAAGTATCAAATTCCCTTGAGACCAAGAGGGTAAATTACAGTGGGATTCGTGGTGATGAGATACAATGGATTCCCAAGGGAAACTATGAAAATAGGATACTTGGAGGCATGGCAAACTTTCAAGGCTGACATCAAGGAAAGCCTCTATATTCTCCTTAGTGATGCCCTCAGACAAATGTTAGGCTGATGGACCATGAGACTGACACTGACGCAATGCTGACATTTTGCTGCAGTTGTGTGAAGAGTCTTATCCAATGGATAAGAGACCCAGTTTTATTCAAAAGAGACCCAGTTTTGCGTTCTCTTTTCTGAACACTACCATGTACGCCACTGCCATTGCAAGCCGCTCATGAAGGAGGTCTGCAGGAAGGCAAGTATTTTTAAGACCTGTCAGGAGGATTTTTTTACTTTCCTAACAATCACCAGTAACATTTCTCTTCTGATGACTGGGGAGGAGTGTCTGACAAAGACCAGCATGCAGATCTCCAACCTGCCTACTCGCCCAGCCACGTGCCTTCTCTGACTCCAGGCCAGCTCCTGTAACCTCTGACACTCTTCTCTATTCTATTTAAATGGGTCTAATACAGAGGTTTGAACAGTTGGGTGGAGGACTGACCACCATAGTAATACAATTAGAGAGAGCTCAGGAAGTGTCCCCGCCCCCCGAATAACCACCCGCCCAACACCGTGTTTAATACACCAGGGTTACAGGATTAGGTTTCAGCAAAAGATCTCCTCTTGGAAAATGAAGAGACCCTTGGAGATGGAACTCTTTAAGCCAACAATCTTGAACACCTGATGGGAAGAAACTTATCATTTTGCTTTCTCCATCACCAGCTAAATGAGGATAAAGGATAGATCACTGGGGGAAGGAGTTCCATTCTAGGTCAAAACATAGACCTCTGCTCATGGAGCAGTGCAGAGTGGAACCATGGGAGACTGGGGTCAGGACTGGGATCCGGAGGAGGAGAGATTGCACAGCAGGAACGCTGTGCCGTGATTGCTCCTGCCAGTGGGGCCGAAGATGGGTACATTTCAAGTCTAAACCTTATATTTACTGGAATGGGAAAATCACATTCCTCTGTGCCTCAGTCTCCTCATCCATAGGATGGGGGTAATACTGCTCAGCTCACAGAATTCTTGAGGTGAATAAATCAAAGTATTTATATTCAGCATAGGATCTCATATGCACTCAGAAAATGACAGCTGCTATTATTTTTTTCAATAAAAGTTGCCCCTTCTCTTTTAAATAGTAAATGAAGTTGTCCCAAAATGCCTACATTCCTTCTCAAGCTCATGATAGTAAGGAATTATTATTAAGAATTCTCCAAATTAAAATTCTCTAGATATTTCCAAAATGTTTTCTTTGCATTTTTTTAAGTAAATGTCTTGGAAAATAGACAATGGACCGATAAATATCCAAGCTCATATTTAACACTATCGTTGCCGAAGACATTATTTAATTCAACCACAGAAGCTTAGAAGCATGCACAGTGTTCATCTAAGACTTCTGAAATCCAAGGCATATTGGATTTGAGCATTTTCTCTAAGAGCCACCACAAGAATATAAAGAAGCATAAAAAAATACTCACAAGGACTTTCATTTTGCCTGACGGGAAGAAGGTGCCAAACGAGACTGCCGGTGCAACTCCAACCCTTTATATTAGCTTTAAGGTGTGGACATCTCTTTCCAGAACAATTACATTGAAAAGGCTATGTCCCTATCTCTGACAAACCCCAGCAAACTCCTTTATCAGGATTGAGACACAGCCGCATAACCTGATATCAATAAAGTTCATTAGTCAGTAATAAAAATCTGCCACTTGGTCACTCAGTAAATATTCCTTGCTTATCTGTGTAACATTGCAGTCAAGATTTCAATTTCCACCCTTTAAAAATATTATAAGATGCTTGTTCTACACCAGCATCTTATAGACAAACAAGTCCTACTATCTGCCCCTGATGGTAAAGTCCTCCCTTCAGACTTGAACTGGGTTTTCGGTGTCTTTTCATGTGTGCGCTGTATTTTGAATTCTTCTGCCTGAAGGATGGACGTAAGACTAGAGGAAACACAGTGGCTAGGGGACTCCTATGACTTAATTTCTTCTCCCTGTTAAAGTCACTTCCAATTTCCAGAGACTCATGAGAAACAAGATCTAGAGAGCACTCCGCCCAATTACCAGAGTTAACCACATGTTTACGTTAAGCATTGCCCATAACTCCATAAAAACTATGAGTTATACATCTCTGGTTATCCTGAAGGGCACTGAAAATTTCTCAGATTAAAAAAAAATGGGATACAGTTGAATTTGTGTAATTTTTATAATACCACACTCAAAAATGTTTGGCTAGGGCTACAGTGGGATCATGAATTCAGAAGGCAGGGAAATATAAAAATAAACATTACCTGTCAATGGCAAATTTGTTAACCATTGAGAATCGCTATGGTAAGCACAGAAGGAACACAAGCGATGTCCTTGTTCTACAGCCGGAATGACTTCCTGACTAGTGGCTTAAAATATGAGACTTTTAAAAAGCAGACATTGGGCAGTTTGGGGGTTACCTAGTTTCCTGGAATTCCCCTCCCCTGGCTGGTCAGCTGGGTGGATGAAAAATGTGCTGCTTTATTAAGCCGTTTTGAGATACTGGCAGCAAGAAGAACTCCAGTTTTATAGCACATCTGCAAACGTTCTCCCATATCTGGCTCCCAAGACCCCAAAAAGCAAGCCAGCTCCCACACCTGCAGACATGAGGGCAGACAGAGGTATTACACCCTTCGCATTTCTTCCTCTTGCTGTCTGCCTTCTTTGTATTGATAAAAATTCTGCATTCTCTTTCTTTCCCTTCTATTTCCGGGACATTTTGACTTTTTTATCATTAGTTCTAACTTTGAGATTTTAGCTTACATCCTTAATTATTCCCATCATCTACAAACCCAAAAGGAGTCCTGTATTTTGAACTCAACAGAAACAAAGAACTCAGTCATCTTGGAGTCATCACTGAGCATCTTTCCCAGCCCCCTATTGTTGTATTTGGACAGTGTTTTACTTTCGCCTTTAAAATAGCACAAAAATACTCAAGTCTCCCATCAATAGATCATTAAATTTGTTCAAATATTTTATCAATTTGGGGGCTAATTCTTATTTTTTATATCCCAAAAACTTTATTTTCTTTTGGTTTAAGTATATCTTTTGTAGTTCTTTTATTGGGAGCCACTGGGTTTTAATTTCTTATTATGTCTGAAAATGTTTTTATTTTCCCCTCACTTTGGAATAGGAGTTATAGATCGACAGGTATTTTCCTTCTATCACTTTAAAGATGCTATTTCTGGGCGCCTAGGTGGCTCAGTGGGTAAAGCCTCTGCCTTTGGCTCAGGTCATGATCTCAGGATCCTGGGATCAAGCCCCACATCGGGCTTTCTGCTCGGCCGGGAGCCTGCTTCCCCCTCTCCCTCTGACAGCCTCTCTGCCTACTTGTGATCTCTCTCTGTGTCAAATAAATAAATAAAATATTTTTTAAAAAAATAAAGATGCTATTCCATTGTCTTCCCACCTCCACTGTCACTGAGGTGAAACCCGCTAGCAACACAGTTACAATGTTCCTGATTTGTTCTTTTCCAGTTACATGCTGTTATGCTTCTGCTATTTTGTCTCATAATCTCTTGTTCTTTTTTTTACAAGTATAATACCTTCATTTATATCTTAACCACATCCTTAGTCTACCTCTGAAACTTATAATGTGCTGTAATTAGTTGAATAATTGTTAATTAATTGAATGTAAATTTTTTTTAAAAAGCACATCCTCAGTTATTGTCTTTTTCTTGCTGTTTTCTTGTTCAAACCAAATAGCAAATCCATTTCCCAACTATTTGTTTGGTTAGTCACATAAGTTGAAATGCATTTTAACTCATACCTTCTTTTATTTTTTTAAGATTTTATTTATTTATTTGACAGAGATCAAAAGTAGGCCAAGAGGCAGGCGGGAGTGTGGGGAGTGGGGGGGTGGGGAGAAGCAGGCTCCCTGCTGAGCAGAGAGCCCAATGCGGGGCTCCATCCCAGGACCCTGAGATCATGACCTGAGCCAAAGGCAGAGGCTTAACCCACTGGGTCACCCATGCACCCCTAATTCATACCTTCTTTACTATGATCTTATTTTTCTTGTTATGACTCTTTCCAATTTTTACTACGGTGCACTCAATGAATTCATTACCATGTTATTTATTGCCATACCCAAGCAAGAGCTCAAAAACTCCTGTTCATGGGGGAGAAAGACTCCATTCTTTTGTTTTGTTTTGTTTTGTTTGTTTTTAAATTTAATTTTATTTTTTCAGTGTTCCAAGATTCATTGTTTATACACCCAGTGCTCCACGCAATATGTGCTCTCCTTAATACCCACCACCAGGCTCACCCAACCCTTCACCCTCCTCCCCTCTAAAACCCTCAGTTTGTTTCTCAGAGTCCACAGTCTCTCAATAGATTTGAAAGACTCCATTCTAAAAGGTCCTGGGAGGAGGCTCTAGTTATTTGGGCAGGTTACCCTAGATCTTACCGTAAGAAAAATTAATTTTAAATTAATTTTTAAATACATATAAACATCGCATATCATGTAAAAGAAGAAAAAATGGAAAAAACTGCAAGAAAATACACGTAAACTTTGATCCAATTTTTGCAATGTGAAATATTTTCTAAGCCTAAAAGTATTGGAATAAATCACAAGAAAAAAGATGTACAAACCTCATTGAATAAGATATAAGGGATCATTAAGAAAGAGTAAATAAGTTGTTAAGAAAGAGTAAATAAGTTGTTAAGAAAGAGTAAAAGCACATTTAAAACTCAGGAAAAGTATTTTTAACACATAGGAGAGACAAAGAGGAATATTTTCTTTGTTTTGGAGGGAGTGAATAAACTTTCTTATTTTTATTACCAATAAACAAACAAGTATATATTAAAAATCTCCAAAAAGTAATATTTTAAACTTACAAAAAGTTTTTACAAATTCACGAGAGAGTAGTGGATGCATACAATCCATTTTTTTTTAAAATAAAACCTTATTCTTTATTTTTTAATTTTATTTTTTCAGTGTTCCAAGATTCATTGTTTATGCACCACACCCAGTGCTCCATGCAATATGTGCCCTCCATAATACCTACTACCAGGCTCACCTGTCCCCCACCTCCCTCCCCTCCAAAATCCTCAGTTTGTTTCTCAGGGTCCACAGTCTCTCATGGTTCATCTCCCTCCTCCAATTTCCCCCAATTCACTTTTCCTTTCCTTCTCCTAATGTCCACCATGTTATTCCTTATGCTCCACATGTAAGTGAAACCATATGATAATTGCTTCCTCTGCTTGATTTATTTCAATCAGCATAATCTCCTCCAGTTCCGTCCAAGTTGATACAAAAGTTGCGTATTCAACCACAGTGCTTTTTAATGGGCAAAGAACCTGATTAAGGGAAGAAGGGGCCCTACCAGGTGTGGAGTTGAAGTTCCAAAAACATCCTGCCTGGATTTGAATTCCGAATTCTCTAATTTCTCACCATGTGCCTCAAAATCCTCTTGAGGAAAGGAGAACAAAGTGCCTGCCTCCTTAGGGCATCCGTGTGCACATGGACAAGCTCACATACACAACATACTTACAATAGTCACTGGCTCAGAGTAAGCTTGCAATAAGATTTACCTAATATTATTACACTATTTATTATAAGTAAAACATGCTTAAACTTGTAAGTTATTAAAGAATTGCAAAGTCAAGCAGCTTTATTGAATTAAATATAAACGGAACAAAGATAGCTGGAAAATCCCTAAGTATCTGAACATTTTCAAAAAACACTTCTAAATAAATCATGGGTTAAAGAGGTAGTCAGTCACAAGGAATTTAGAAAATATTTTGAACTTAAGGAAGTGAAAATGCAACATGTCAGAATTTGTGGGATGCAGCTTAAAGAGAAAATTGTAGTACTGAATACTCATACTAGAAAAAAGAAGGGCCAGAAAGGAAGAAAGAAAGGGAGAAAGAAAGAAACAAAGAGAGAAAAAGAGAAAGAAAAAGAAAAGATCCTCAAATAAATGATTGAAGTATTCACCTTAAGAAGCCTGAAAACAAATATCAAACTAAACCCAGAGCAAGCACAAAACAGGAAATAATAAAGATAAGAGCAGAAAGAAATGAAATTGAATACAGAAAAACAAGAAAAAAATTCAATGAAAAATGCCAATCGTTTATTTAAGACCAATCCATCGATAAATTTCTAAAGAGAATGTTCAAGAAAAAAAAGGCGTGAATTGTTAATACTACTGATAAAAAGGGAATATCAACACAGTGCTGTTGATTTTACGCCACTAACAGAATAATAAGGAAATATTTCAAGCAACTTTACGTCCAAAAATTCTAAATCAAATAGAATTCTTGAAAGATAAACTACCAAAATTTACTCAAGAAGAAATAACTATCTGGAGTGGGCCTATATCAATCAAGGAAATTGAATTTGTAGTTATAAACTTTCCACAAAGAAAATTCCAGGACCTCAGAGCATCACAGGCAAATTCTACCGTTTCAGGAAGAAATAGTATCAATTCTACACAAATTCTACCAGAAAACAGGAGAGGAGAAAACATCTCCAAACTCATCCTATGAGGCCAATATTATCCTAGTACCAAAAATAGACAAAGATATTATGAGAGGGGCGCCTGGGTGGCTCAGTGGGTTAAGCCGCTGCCTTCGGCTCAGGTCATGATCCCAGGTCCTGGGTTCGAGCCCCACATGGGGCTTTCTGCTCAGCAGGGAGCCTGCTTCCTCCTCTCTCTCTGCCTGCCTCTCTGCTTACTTGTGATTTCTCTCTGTCAAATAAATAAACAAAATCTTTAAAAAAAAAAAAGATATTATGAGAAAAGAAGCTATAGACCAAAATCCCTTATAAACATAGATGAAAAAAATCTCCAAAAATATTAACATAATGAATATAGCAATATATAAAAATAAT